AGAAAGCAAGAAAGGTTGCTGGTTCTCATAATTTACCTCTTGTCGGGGTCCATCACATGGAAGCTCATACTCTTGTTGCCAGGTAACAATATGGAACAAAGGTTAAGTTATTCATGCTAGTAGCAAGCAGTAGAGTAGGATCAGTTCGTATGGCTAAATTTGTTGGGAATTTGTCCAATTCCAGGGTTGGTTACTGGACTGTGAATATCCTAGCTTTCGATTTACTTTGTCCGCAATATTGCTAAAAAATAATAACAATAAAATTAAGAAAAAAACTTTGGCTGGAATACTCTTGTAAGATGAATTTTGTTCTCTGTGGTAATGTTTTTCCTTCTTACTTATGCTTGATTGTCTTGGAAGGCTGCCTGTTTTATGCTTCAAGACATTTGCATGTAAACCACCTGGAAAGCTGGAACTCATGTTTTCTCTGTTTTAGACTAGTGGAGAAAGAGCTGCAGTTTCCTTTCATGGCCCTACTTGTCTCAGGTTAGATAACCTTCTACAATTTTATAGGTCTGTTTTATTTACTCTAAGTGATAATATACTGGGTTAATTTTTCCCTGTATTTAGAGATATATGATCAAGTTAAATACAGTATCACCCTAGTTCTAGTTGCACGGCCATCATATGGGGTTATCTATAATCAGTTCTTCCCTTGGAACATCATATGCTTGTCCTGATTCTCATGATATTTAGTGTTATGTTTATGAGCCCTTCGATTGTATCCTGTAAGATGAAAATCTCTCATAATCATATAAATGTCTTGTCAATGATTTAATTTTAACATATTATTCATAATCTTCGTGTGTGCTTCTCCTTTCATGTTTTTCCCTAGGGAACCCAACTTATCTTAAGTTTAAGAAAAATGTTATGCTAAATATTGGATACATTTCTCTATCAACAGCATAGAAATGTAGTTTTCCTAGTGGAAAAACAATTTGACCAGTTGTATTTTTCTGTGAATTAGATATCAATAACTAATGAATTTTCTTTTGTTCATATGCTCTTTAGGAGGGCATAACCTTCTAATCCTTGCACGTGATCTTGGCCATTATATACAACTTGGGACAACAATTGATGATGCAATTGGCGAGGCATATGACAAGACAGCAAAATGGCTTGGTCTTGATTTGAGGAGGAGTGGGGGCCCCGCTGTGGAGGAGCTAGCTCGAGAAGGAGATGCCAGATCTGTCAAATTTAAAGTAAGTTACTTTAGGGAGATTTGCACTTATATGCATTATGTCTCCAGAATTACTCTGTAAAAGAGGTTTAGTAGTGATATTGTTTGCTCAACTAACTAAAAGTTTGAATAAATTTTAGGTCCCTATGAAACAACACAAGGATTGCAACTTCTCGTATGCTGGTCTGAAGACGCAAGTGAGGTTGGCAATTGAAGCAAAAAGAATGTATGTGATTCATTAGGGAAATAAGTTATTGATCAGCTTCCAGAAGTATTTTTCCTTTTCATTTCATCTTAAAAACTTTAGCACCATTGGCACTGCATTTGTTTGCTCTTTTCCTATTATAGAATTTGATTTTTCCGTTTTCAATGAGGTAAACAATGAATTGTCCAATATATGGATAAACTATCTGCCTCAGAGCAGAAAATGGTTTTGATAACCGAGAAATCCCCGAGGGCCAATGGCACACCATTTTAAACTCGGTGACTAATGAGCCCGCACCTTTACCCTTCTCCACTTAAATATTAAGCTTTTGTCTGCAACATGGTTCAGACCCTTGACGTGTGCCTAACCCAAACATCACTTGCCGCGCTCTTACCACTAGACCAAACCCCGGGGCCAATCAAAGCAGAAATTCTTGAAAAGATTAAAGAAACTTCCCTTGTTTCTTCCTCTTTCTACAATATCTCCTTAGTTTAGTCTTCATGTAAATCATTGTCTAGAAAGTACAGTAGCTTTTAGCTCTGTCTTGTGATTTTAAGGTATAATGAGTCACTCAGATAACAATGTACATCAGTTGGTTGTCATTGTGCTTGTCTTCCTAGCTATTCACATTTTATAGGTTGTATGCAGTAATGCTGAAGTCTCTCTTGCTTCAGCTTCTAATGAAGATAGACAGGCTCGGGCCGATATTGCTGCCTCCTTCCAGGTATATAGCTTTTACATCTGTCGTGATTTCATTGTAATTAAGAATTGTTGGCTAACAAATCAATCTGTCTCCTATACCTCCTTTAAATTCTGAATCTCATTGCATTTGCAATGTCGTTTCACGCAGCGAGTTGCGGTATTACATTTGGAGGAAAAGTGTGAACGGGCAATTGATTGGGCTTTGAACATTGAGCCTTCAATAAATCATTTGGTCAGTGTTCTCTGTTTACTGCAATTTCTTATGACTAATTTCTTCCTCTCGTTACTCTAATGTATTAATTCCATGCTCCTGTAAGATTAATGTCAACTATGCTAATCGTTCAGTTTACCTTTCACAGGTAGTGTCTGGAGGTGTTGCTTCTAATAAGTATGTCAGAGCTCGTCTTGATGAGGTTGTGAAACGGAAAGGGCTGAAACTTGTATGCCCCCCTCCTAGCCTTTGTACTGACAATGGTTAGACAATTCTCTTTTTAAAATTGCCTCATTTTCATAGAGGAAAGGTTTTGTCTCTCGTGGTTAGACAATGGTATTGCACTCTAATTCGTTTGCCTGTTCTAATAGGTGTAATGGTTGCATGGACTGGCATTGAACATTTCCGTCTTGGCAGATTTGATCCTCCGCCTCCTGCAAATGAACCAGAAGATGTTGTGGTTTGTCTTTTTCTTGCCTTGCCTTTTCCCCTTACCTCTGCTCAAACTGGCCATATTGTCCTATAGTTTAAGTTGATCTGCGTATTCAGCCAATAAATTTGCACCTTGGAAGTTACGCTTGTCAAATATCATCCAGAATATTCAGTCAAAATTTGAAACTCCTCAGATCTGCTTTATGGAGTTTCTATTGTTCTAATTCCTGTTCCCTGAACCCCCCCCCCCCCC